GCAGCTCACCAGCTCAAATCCCCCATTTTGCATGTTAGTGCAAAATGACTGCTAACATAAGCCTGATGATGGCAGATGGGATTCTGCCGAAACGTCGCTTCTACCCTTTTAGGGATATATCCACAATTACACGGGAAGAAACCCGGCAAGTTGAAGATGCGTGGACTTCAACTCCCAGGATTCCCTAGCCTTGGGTGTCAAAGTCCACATATCTTCAAACTGCCATGGAAGAGAAACACCGGTAAACAGTATTGATGATGTATTTATTATTACATTTTTATGTCGCCGATCTCCCCTATAAGGTGACTCCTTATAGAGGAGAGTTAAGACCTTTCCAATGGATTCTCTTTCATCTTCTTACATTTGTTTTATCTGAAAGCAGCTGTCAAAGTCAGAAAAGCAGCACAAGGTTTCTTCAGGGATTCAGGCAGTAATTTGTGTCAAGTGACTCCAGAGATGGTCTCTGAATAATGTACATTTGCAACTGGTTTCCCTAACCAGTTGTATTTTCCTCTGGTGTTAGAAAAGAGAAGATGCCTGACTTACTTTCCCCAAGATAGCATCGGTAAGACCAGATTTTTTGAGAAACAGAGCTGCATCACTGGACCCAACTCTACCAGTGCAAGCTGGATCCACCTGCAAAGAAAATATTAACTCTTCAGCAAACCCCAAAAAGGAAAGGAACGAGTCACTTTTATCTCACTTCCTCACTATGGGCCAACTCGTAAGATGGGGACTACTATATAAATGTTTTGAATAAAATAAATAATCAAACTCTACGTCCTATTTCCCACTGAAATTAGGCCTCTGTTGGCTTGTTCTGTTCTTACTATAGCAGCAGCAATAGCACTTAGACTTATATACTGCTTTACAGACCTCTCTAAGCGGTTTACAGAGTCAGGATTATTGCCCCCAACAATCTGGGTCATTTTACCGACCTCAGAAGGATGGAAAGCTGAGTCAACCTTGAGTCTGGTGAGATTCGAACTGCCAAATTGCAGGCAGCCGGCAGTCAGGAGAAGTAGCCTGCAGTACTGCATTCTAACCACTGCGCCACCTGCTCTTCAAGAATGTGTTAAGATACTTCTTAAGGATGCTTTTATCCACTATTCTTTTCAATTTAGCTTTTAGCCTCATTAATTGGATTATTAAAGATTCCGATGATATTAACAACCTCATAATGCTGAGTACAACATAGATCTTTGTTGACATGATGTAAATCACCTAATCTTATTTCTTTAATGCAAAAGTTTGGCATTCAATCTGGTCATTTTATAAATTGCAATAACTCTGGCTTGGTGCCAAAAGTTGTAATATCTCTGCCGACAAAGCTTTCTGAGTTGTTTACACTGAGTTTGAAATTGAAGTAAATTTCTTTTGATTTGAAAATGCAGGTAATACAAGATTTCCCACATATTGGATTAAAGTTACGAATTTTGCTGAAAATATAATATGGAAGTCGAAATGCTAATCTGTAGGGTCTGAGCTTGTCTTATTGTTGCTACGTTTTGATCTGAAGTTAACAAGGTCAGGTCTGTTACAGATGTACCTGTTCCAGATTTGAGTTCTCAACATAGTAGGAGACTCTGTAGGGCAGGGGTCTCCAACCTTGGCAACTTTAAGCCTGAAGGACTTCAACTCTCAGAATTCCCCAGCCAATAAAGCTGGCTGGGGAATTCTGGGAATTGAAGTTCTCCAGGCTTAAAGTTGCCAAAGTTGGAGACCCCTGCTGTAGGGGACCTCTTCCTTCATGCCCTACAAGCTCCAATCCCCAGGCTCAGTGGGACTCACAAAACCCTCTTGGCAGTCATTTTGTGAATTAAACATTTCCCCTTTTATGGCAGAATCCAGAACATATCTCAAAATTCCAAATGCATCCACTAGCCAAAAAGTTTAAACACAAGTGATATATCAAAAGTTATGGATATCTTGTGTATAGGGTAACTGTTCTATATAGTACTGGAAGAACAGACCTATAACGGACTAAAGTAGGTAAACTGTTACTATACATTCAATATGTTTTCCCACCATAGTGAATCAAGGAAGAAGGTTTACAGGTAATTTTGTTATCTTTTGAACAACTTCATCTACGCCTGTGTAAATTCAAGCAAATTTTTAATTTATACTTTGTGACCTATTGACAGGGTTTCATCAAAGCATAAGCATTACATGCTATTACATTCTATCATACATGACATGAAGATAGAATGCATTACAATTCTAGTGTCCCAAGGCATCAGCAGCATGTTGATGTATGTTGTTCTTGCTTTGTTTACTAGACAATGCTATTTGCTTAGGATACAGCTTGTTCTTGGTTTCTTTTGGGAACTAATTTAAATAGAGCAAACCATGATCCTTATTTCACTTTAAAAGGGCTTTGTTAGCCAGGTTTACTCACAGGAAGATTCAAGGGGTGCAAGAAAAAGCTTACAAACTACAAATAGCCACCCAGACTCATGAATTTAAGACAGGCAGCTATATAAATTGACATCATAATAATACATAAATCAATGCTGGCCTTTGTAATATTAAATGAACTTGCAAATTTTGTATTCACTTTCTAATAGACCAGCACAATGTCTACAAAACACATATGCTGGGTGTCCATATTAGCCAATAGATAAGAAAAAAGGCAGGATTACAAGGGAGAGAAAAGAAAAGAAGAAATTTAGCACACTTGCCTGCTTGTAATATGTCTCATACAGAGGGTTACTGGCGGAGAGCTAGAAAAAAAAGGAGAAATTCAAGGTGAAAGTTATCCTTACACACAGCCTGGTCTACCCATCATAATGCAGAGTCCCCCAAGATTTCCGGACTGGGGGGGGGGAAGGGGATAGTTCTGTGTGTGCAGTGGGCAAGCACCCATGCATATGCAGCTCCATTTGCATGCCTCCTGCTCATGCAAGTGAGGAGGCATGCATGCTCTCCCATCTCTTCCATGGCCCAGTTCCAAAAGGCTCAAGGCCTGGTAGTGGGCTGTGGGTTGGGGACCTCTGTTTTAATGGGTCTGGCTCTATTTCTGCTTGGGATCTTCTAAAAATGCCCCACCACCATTGCCCCCCGCCCAAGAAATGGCTCAGTACAAGAATAGGGCGAGGTATGAATAAAGTTAAAAGGACTTGCATAGGAATGGCATCAGATCATTTGTAGCCAGCCAGAACACAAGGCCTACACATGCTGCCTACCATCTCAGCTTCTCATTTTCTAACTGCAATAACGTATCATTCACTTGCCCTCCAAAGAATTATCAATGGACAAACATTTTCTTTCTTTAAACAGACTCAAGGACAGTTCAGTTGTTATAAAGGACTTCCCACTGCTCTCTAGTTTGAGTTCAGTCTAAATAACACCCAAAAGCAATATTTGGCTTTCTCTGAGAAAGCATACAGGAACTGCATGGTATACGTTCAGTAGTGGATGATAAATACAGATAACGTTTTAAAAAAATATCAGTTACTGCACCTTCTTGTTATTTATTTCGGTTAATTTATAATGAAGAGGGAAAAAAGACAGTCACCTTGGTTGAGCTTAACAAAGATAGAGTGAGACAACAAAGCATTTAGAAGCCATCACTTAGAAACTGAACTAACAACATTTTTTTTCACAAGATCAGGAGTAAGCCCTGAAACTCAGCATGGGAACAGAATGCTATGGAAACAAGAGAGGGAGAAGATGGAAGTTCCATTCTCTCTTGTCCTCAATATACAGTGCTAGAATACCATTATCATACAGATCAGGTAAATTGCAAAATTGCCACAGAATTTCACCCCATCACCCATTCTGATCTTGCTAAGTTACAGACATCCCCCATCCCCAAACAATGAATAACTTTTGCTTCTGCTTTCTGCACAATTGGTTGGTTGGTACATAACTTCAGGTAGTCCTTGATGTATGGCCGTAATTGAGCCCAACATTTCTATTGCTAAGCAAGACAACTGTTAAGTGAGTTTTGCCCCATTTTACAACCTTTCGTGCCTCAGTTGTTAAGTGAATCACTGCAGTTAAGTTAGTACCGCTGTTGTTAAGTGAATCTGGCTTCCCCGTTGGATTTTGCTTATCAGGTGGTCGCGAAAGTTGATCATATGACCCTGGGACACTGCAACAGTCATAAATATGAGTAGTTGCCAAGCATCTGAATTTTGATTATGTGACCACCGGGATGCTGCAATGGTCGTAAGTGTGAAAAACAGTCATAAATCACTTTATTCAGTGCTATAGAACTTTGAACACTCACTAAACAAATGGTTGTATGTCAAGGACTACCTATTTACACATATGCCTCCCTTCTAGAAACCATCTATCTATATTTGACTTCTGTTCTAATCAGCTTCAGAGAGCCTAGCCAATTATTACCGATAATGGGAGTTGTGTCTAGATATGTCCTTCTGGAAAGTTTCAAGAACCTCAATTCAGGCTTAATTTGAATGCCTTTCTTTTATTCTTTTTTACTGTCTGAAAGGCAAACAGAACTCACAGTGTCTAAGGTAATCATGAAGAGCTATGCAGCTGTCCTTATGATTCCTTCATCGTCCAATGGGTAAAATAAAGGCTAACCACATGTCATGAATACCCATTCTGTTATACAGAACTGTGGCCTACCATTTGGTTTTAATGCTATGCAAAACCACCAACAATGTTTCCTCTGGTTTTCCAACAAGAGACAGAAATCCAAATTTTATCTGTCTTGAAGGGTGGGAAAGACATGCAAGGTCAAAAGAGATTCTTTTTTGCTCAAGACAAACGATAAGCTGTAACTAACAGCTCTGATGAATGGGCAGCCCAGTACAAGTTCTCATCCTACAGAATCCTGGTGTTCAGCAACCAATTCTATTTCCCAGAATGAGCGTGTGATATCTTCGGCAATGTATGGAAGCTTCGATAGCTCATACAAAAAGCTATCCACAAACACCCTCTTTATGAACTGCTACTCAACAGAGCCTAGATCAGGGGTTCCCAACCTTTTCTATACCCCGCACCCCTAGAATGCTTCTGATATATTTTCACACCCTTTACAAAAGTAAATAATTATATGCATATACACTATAATTTTGAAACTTCTAAACCCAAGTTTTTGCACCCTTGGTTGGGAACCCCGGACTAGATAAAAACCCCTCTTTATCTCTGTAATTGGCAGAATCTAGAGCATCAATACATTCAGCATCCATGTATAAATTTGCAGGGGGATACCATCAGAACACAAGAAAATGCCTTCTACAATCTATTATCAGGTAGATGAAAACGATTTGTAAGGCTGGTCTAATTAGGAGCAATATCTCAGCCTATCACCAATTTTCATTATATCAGAAAAAAATGGAGAATGGGGAAAAGGTCCACATTAAATAATAAAAAAGAGAGTCAAAGGATTCAAGGGGAAGGATATTTTGCCTGGGCCTCTTCCTCTACAGTACACAGCCTTGGAATTTACAAGCCAGAATGAGATGCGCCCAAAGCTTCCCGAAGCGCTTGGCTTCAAAACACCCTTTCTGAAAAGAGCAATTTATAACTGACTGGTTGTGCTTGACATCTGGGCTATGCGTGGTTCTGCGCTTTTCTGCAAGCAGAGCCAACATGGAGATGCTTTCTCTGCTAGACAGCAGCCATTAACTTTGCAGGAATACAAATCAGCCTGGGCAGAAGCAGTATTCAGGGTTCTAAGGACTTTGGGTCTGTGTCCAAAAAAGGAGCCTGGAAAACAGCACTTGGCATCAGGCATAGGATTCTCACTTGAACCAGAATAAGCTCAGAAGTGATGCTCTTAGCAACATAATTTATTAACAAGCATGCAACAAATCTACTCTTTATCTATACAGAGATCGCTGGATTTTCTTTCCTATACATAGATCTCTGAATCAGCTTCCCTCCAAGAGAAAAATTCAATGTTTCTTTTTCTGAGTACTCATGACACATTCCATACACCAGAGATCCCTCTGCCATCTTCCTTTGTGGCTGAATGTTTACTGTGTACTATTTCATTTGAAAAAAAAAGGCTGATTAAAGCCCTGTTAATTAATTAGAATAATTAAGCAACCTGTCTATTAGCATGACTGAATTTTTGCTCAAGAGGTCCTTAGTTAACAATTATCCCTAGGAATAGGGATAATCCCTAGGAACCTGTTCCTAGTTTTTGTTAGGAATGGCTGTAAATCAGCAATAGGAGATATGTGGGGCCGGTACACAAAGTTCTAGATTTAACCAAGGCAAGAAAGGAACACATCAATCCTGGATTATGTTTCCCCATGTAACCCTGCCAGTCATTTATGAGAGTTCATCATCCAGGGTTGCACAAAACCCCTCCCTTATTGTGACAGACCTTATCCGGTAGGGCAGCCAGCTCAGTGTCAGAGGCCTTTGTATATTCTCTCCGGCCTTGCATTAATTTCCATTCCATTCCTCCAATCTGGTAAGGAAATTCTTCTGTGGCTGAAGCTGCCTAAGGAACTGAAACTTCCCTTGAACTTCAGTGCAGAATCCAGGCAGCTTCAAAAAGGCCATTGAGCCACTTTTTAATGCATCTGAATTACCGTAGGCTGCAGGTTTTGAGGCCATCAAAAAAGTTATCTTCAACTATTGCAGGTTGCAGACTTATCTTCTTCAAAGAAGCTCTCTCGGTACCACTTCTACAAATACATTCAGGTCCTCAAGACAGTGTTCTCCAAGGACTTTGTAATTATTATATTTTAATCCCTAGTTCTTATTTATGGGCTAACGTGGATTTTAAATTTGGTGGCAGTGTGTAGCTTTTTACCAAGTAACTTTATGATTTTTGGCCTTCTTTTACAAAACGTATAATATTCCATATGGTATTATTTGACAATCTCATCCTCAGATATGTTTTAATTGCTTATATGTCATTGTTAAATTGTTTGTTATTCAGTAAGAAATATAAGCCCTAAAAATCCTCATACTTCCCCAGTTGGCCATTAAAACGCTGGAGAGAGCCGGGCGTAAACTCTCAGATCTACAGCCTGACTACACCCATCTTTATCTGGAAACGATTTTTATTTGGCTTAATTTCTAGATTTCTATCCACAAGCTTTGTAATGTTTTCCCAGAAGAAAAGACACCACTTGCTTGAATTGGTCCCACTTCAGTCTTTCGGTTCTGTACTGGGCTTCCCAAATTTCCCAGTGTTTACAAACAGAATAAATTCTCAATGTTTAGTTCTAGCTGGGTCTGTTGTACCTCTGCAAACATCCAAGCGGGCAAACTGCATCACCTGGGTCCTCCTTTTCTGGGAAAATATACTTCTGTGGCTAGATTTGGCAGCACTTAAAAACTCTTCAGCACCTATTAAGAGTCCCTCCAAACACACACACACACACGCACACCCACTCCTATACACAGACAACGCATTTGTGCAACAGCGGTCCTTCAATCAAATCCTGGCCTAGAGGATTTGCAGCCCCTTTTCTCTTCCTCGGCTGTAGCATCCCAGCCAGCTCTGGTGGCGGATAAGGTTTCTTTCCCAACAGCCCTGTGAGGTAGGCTGGGCTGGGTCCCTTGGGTATTAAAGCAGGGGCTTTTCTCGGGCGTGGACCTGAAGGGTGGCGGCGACGGGACCCTCCACGTCCCAGTCCTGGGGGCAGCAGCCCAGCTGTCCCCCCTCCGGGCTGAGTTGCCTGGCCCCTTTCCGCCGCCGAGGACGACTGGCCTTCGCCGGTCCCTCCCCGTCAGCGCCCGACGCCCCGTCTCCGTTCCTGGGAAGGGAAAGAACCGCCCGAGAGACCACCTCCCATCAAGGTCGCGTGTTTTGCGGGGAGGAGGTGGCTGCCCTCCCCTCCCCTCCCCTGCTTCTGACTCACGCCGTGGGTATCTCGCCTTTCTCGAATTGCGACCGCTCTTCCTCCCGCCGCCATTCTCCCTTCTCATCCCTCCGCCGCCCTTCCTCTGGGTTCCCTACCTGAGCGCCGCCGCCGCCGAGGGGGCCGAGCGCCGCCATCTTCCTCCTCCTCCTCCTCCTCCTCCTGGGAGGGGAGCGGCCAGAGAGGGACGGGGCGTGGCCACGAGAACTACAGTAGCAGCAGCAGCAGCAGCGAGCGCGGGGCCAGCGCCGCCAAGCGGCCAACCAAGGAAGCGCTGAAAGATTCCCAGTCGCGGCGTCTCCTCCGAAGGTCCGCGGAGGATGCTTCGTCCCCCCTGCTGGGAGGCGAGTCTGCCTTCCTCGCCATCATTCAATGCAGGAGGGGCGTCTGCGGTGTTGCCGCTGCTGCCTAGAAGGCTTCCGAGGCTAGAAAAAGGGACATTTTCTCCTCTTCCACTTTTGCATAGGAAAGATTTTTTGGGGTAATTCAGAAATAGTAATGAGATAAACCCCCCTCCCCCTTTCCCCCTGCAACCCGGAGCCCCAGAGATAATTTGGGGAGTTAATCGCCTTTGCAAGGATGGATGACTGGACTTGAAGGAGAGAAGGAAACGAAGTCATTATGGACTCTCTTTGTCAACAATTTACTTTATTAAAAAAAACCCTTTTGATATCATTTTAGCCGAAACCAGTTTCCCCAGGTATCTGCTTAAACAAACATGGTCCCTGGCCCTTAATATCTTCCTCTGTTAGCTCCAATTTAAATTCTGAGGGGGAAAAAAAGGTCACAGCTCCTCCTTCTGTGCTACAATCCTCTCAGATTTGTTCTTTTGAGGTGATTTCTTTTTTGGCATCTTCTGGGTTTTTCTCTTTTTCCCTTTCTTTTCTTTCTTGATTTCTTTCTCGCTCATTGTCTGTTCCGGCTCCTGGAAATTTTAAATGGAAAATGAAAGGTCACCTTAGGAAACCTGCTGTCATCTCAGATATCCAGCTGAGGAAATCTACTCCCTTGCGGGAATTTTCCTTGATCTGTTTCCTCCCAGCTAATCTAACATGACAACTGGAAGAACAAACTGCAGGCGGAACAGGCTCCGCTTCCAATGCCACCTGCAATAGCTGCTGGCATTGGACAGAGCAGAGAGGCTCCCCCTTTATTTTCTCATCCAGGTAAGAAGACTGTCAGCATCGCATCCAGGAGTACTGGGAAAGTCACCTCAAGCAGCCTTACTGTGTGTCTGTGGCTATTTTGGAAAGGCACCTGCAGAACAATCATAGTGGATTCCCTGTTCCAATATCAGCCATCCAAGCAAAAATAGCTCTTTGAGAAAAGGGTCAAGTAATATAGAAGAACAATACAATCACAAAAGGAATCTACACCCTGGCTGCATTTCAGAGAAGAGATCATTCTTACCTTCGTTTTGCCCCATGTTTCATCACCAAATTTCTTCGCATACTTTTCATCATCAGTGATCAAGAAATTATCAAAAATAGTTCCAGATCTCACCTGCAATTAAGAAACACAATAGTGTATCTTTATATACATTTGAATCAATAGCTCTGTGTTGCTAATTTTTTTCTCAAGATGGCAGTAATTAACGCACGAACCAGAAAGAGGCCCAACTGACCTGCCAAAGATCTAGACCAATGACGCTGATGTTCTCATAGACAGAAAGGCTTGGATCTGGCACATACTCAGGATTTGCAATCTGGGGATGGGGCCAAATGCCTTTGTAGTTGGGATTTGGGATTTTTCTGGGCCGCCACTCCCCCTGAAATAAACCAAATGTTCTCGGTTTATGGCTGCCCAAATGGCCACCCAATTCCTCAAAGTTCACTTCAAAACAAGGAAAAGGTGGCACCATACTCTGTAGAGAGGATTCTTCAGCAGAGGAGGTTGCCAGGTGCCCTGTGCTGCATCATCCCAGTCTTTAGGTTTTTCAGCGCTGTTGTCCACAATGTATTCATCAATATCCCAATCCTATCACAGGGATGGGGGAAAAAATGAAAGGAAAGCAAAATGAGCAACTCCTAATATTGTGCCTCCCATGCATTACAGATCACCATATTGTGGCGTCTTTTTGGAAGGGGGATGTAACAGTATCATGGTGATTTGCTACAGCCATCTTCTAACATGTCTTTTTCAAACTCCCAGCTTTGAAATTCATTGGAGATCTCCTGCCCAATTCCTAACTAGGCCTGATTCTGCTAAACTTCTGAGGCCAGACAAAGCACATTGAGTCCTACCAATTGCTGTACCATATCCAGCCAAATAAAGGTCTTTGATTCTCAAGACAAAATCAGTTTGGCAGCCCATCAAGAGTTAGTAGTTCCATTTGAGGGAAGAGAGCTGTTTTTGTGCTCAGGGATTTTACAGGTAAGCCATCAGGCAGTAATAGCATCTTATAGTGCTCTCTTCGGAGGTGACAAGCACTGGCAGATTATACTAGTGCTAGAGATAATCTCTGCTGCAAAAATTGAAGTGGCCACTAGAGAACAAAAAAGGTAATTGTTCTCTGTAGCTCTCTGCTGCCATCAAGAGGTTGTTCTTGTCAATATGCACTGAGACTGATGGTTGCTCACCTGAGTCTTTTTGCCTTTTGCTTTGCTTTGACAGGCCAGATTCCTCTGTAGGTGGCATGCTGACTCTAGCAGAACACATTCAGGTTGATTATTCTGAAGCCTGAAGGTGTAGCTGGGTCCCCATCTCTAGTGGTTTCTACCACATCTGCCTTGATTCTAGTCAAGCCACAGTCTCCAAATACCTTGAGCAAATTTAAATCTTCAGGGCCAGATTAGTTGACCCCTAACACAAAACAGGGATTTGATGATTTACATGGAAACAAAGCTCTGAGAAATTCTGAAGAATAGATGTCACAGGAATATAAACACACATTTATAAAGCAAAACAGAAGAGCCAGGAAAGTAAAGACTGATCTGCCCAATTGCAATTCCATGTTAATGAAAAAGGAATAAATTTGTTACAGTGAGATAGAAACCCAGACATAATGCTTAGTAAGAGGAAGTGCAGATTTGCCAAGAAAAAACACCCTGCATTTTTATAAAAATCAGTTACTAGCTATTTTTTTTTACAAATATTATTTATATAATTTATCTTAGAATTAGCAAAGCAAAGGTCCTTTTTATATCCCAGTAGACCAACTGGCTAATTGCCCATGAAGAACACTCAGAGGCTGTAACCAATGCAGAGTGCAGATAGTCATGGGTGTGTCTTGTGGCATACCTCTGCTGCATGAGCTACAGTATTTAGTTTCCAGGTGGAATTAATCTGTGTGTGTGTGTGTATACACATACACATATATTTGTTTTTCATTTTTAACATTACCCATCCCAGTTATTTACTGAGTTATTTATTGGCTATTTAAATAAATTCAAGATGTGGTTTATCACCCATAGTATAAAATCCATTATGGTATAGGACAGTGATGGTTAACCTTTTTGGTGCCGAGTGCCCAAAGCGTGCATGAATACACCCGTGCATGCCCGAACTCCCAAAATGCAATGCGAGCACCCTCCCATGCATGCGCCCCCCCACATGTGCTCCACCCCGCCACGTGCCGTTTTGGCTTCCAGGTTGGTGCAGGAAGCTTTCTAGGCCCAAAACAGGGCAAAGGGGGACCTCGCGCAGCACCCGTGCCCCTTTTTGGCTTCCAGGTGGGTGCAGGAGGCCTTCCAGGCCCAAAATGGGGCGCAGGGGGATGCACACGTATGAACCCCCAAAGTGCAATGTGAGCAACCCCTGTGCATGTGCCCTGCCCCCCACACATGCGCATGCGTGTCCCTCGCATGCGTCCCGCCCCCTGTGCATGCGCGGCAGAGACTCAAAGATCAGCTGGCTGGCGGGAGGCATGCACACATGCATGGTAGAGCTGGGCTGGGGCGATGGCTGGCATGCCAGGTGACATGGCTCCGGATGCCACTTCAGGCACACGTGCCACAGGTTCGCTATCAAGGGTATAGGACTTAGCTATTTGAGAAACCTTGCTCATTTCCATTGTTTCTGCCTACCCTGTAACAATGGACAGAGAGCGGGTGTGCTGTGGCTCCCACCTTTAAAGCAGTGCCATCTGATGGGAACTAGATGACACGCTTTCCCAGCTGTAGTGCCTGTCCCTCTGCAAGAGTATCTCCCAGATGGTTTGAACAGCCCTCCCCCTGCTGTCCTTTTAATTAAACCTGAAGGCCTTCCATCGGCTCTGGAATAGATAGGGATATATGCCCATCTTGAATGAGATTATTTTAATAACTGGGATATGATTGCTCCCTCGCTATAGCTTCTTTGCATTATTACCTTTTTATTGTTTTATAGATACGAAGTCATTGTGGGTTGACGTTATAAAGTCTATAAAATTTAATTCTAAATAAATCAATAAGCATTGTTAAGAATTTAAACAAAAGTAAAACCTGATTAACATTAACGGTCTTTCATATCTTTCTAAATTGCAACAGGAAGGAGGCCAGGGTAGAACTCTGGAAGAAGTACATTGCATAATATGAAGATAACCATTGAGAAAGCAGCTGATCTAGTCTTATCATCCAAGCCCCTGCACATCATTGCTGGTGCAGAAATACCATTTCAGATTTCATGCATCTTCCTTGCAGATAGAATGAAGCTGCCTACCAATGCTGGCACAAAGAAATGGGAAGGTGCATATCAGCAGCTGCCCATTCTTCTTTTGCATGCCCTTTCACAAAAAGGACAAAACTTATAAGACCTGCTACATGTGTTTCCTACTAGACAAGGTACATGCTGGCTTTTCCTGTTCACCACTCATGCACCTTTTTCTATAAAGGAGGAAACAAGAATGGTGATTCTCCAGGTCTTAAACAAATAAAAAGATGTTAGTGGGTGAATCTTTTAAGGAGTGGGTGGCCTTTTCTTCCTTAACTCCTCAATCTGCATATTACTTCACCTACCAGGCAAATGAAGGTTTGGATCTGATTCCTAGAGCAGACTTTTCATCTATATAATCTATTATTAATATAATATACCATATGATATGATACAATATCAATGTAAAAAAACCTGGAGGATGGGATTTTATCAAATTTACAGTTGACACAGAATTTGGAAAACAATCGGGAGGCGGGGGGCGGGACCTGATCTTGACAGAATGAACACTAACTGAAGTCAACAATAATTTGGAGA